TAACGTAATTGAAGGAGCAATTATAATCATGAAAGTTATATCAATAAATGAAGAAAACAACGAAAAAGAAAGAAGTAATAATAAATAATATCTTATATTATGTATTAGTTATTACATCCTACTGGAGGCTTTATCTGATACTATTCAAAAACTATATTCATAATTCCCGAGGGCGTAGCCCGAGGGAATTATGAATATAGTTTGAGTGTATATAGCCAACAGTAGGGTGTCAGTCATAGTGGATATTCAATGAATATCATTGGATATCTGCCCTAGGGCAATATGGATATCATTGCCCTAGGGCAGCCAGATATCCAATGATATTCATTGAATATCCACTATAAACCATGCTCGATACCTTTGATCTGTATGGCTTCTAGAGCCTGGGAATAAGTATCGGATATCTACCTGTCTGGCGGGTGGCCCATGCCCTACTCTTATCTATGGCTTCATTGGTTTACTTGTCAAACCACTTTGTCAAAACAAACTAGAAGAATGTAAGACATTAAGGGGCGAGCCTAAGCTATAGCAAAGGAATTATATAGCACTCGTTTATCCATCTATTATATACTCTGAATTTCAAAGCATGCATCAGTCATGATTAGGCATAGCAAGCATACATGATGACAGTTACTGTTGATAAAATCATTTTAGATCTTGAATATTTTAAAGCAGTATCTTGTTGCAGTTATCTTACTTAAATTAAAGCTATCTTGCTTATAGTTAAAAGCAGTCAATAAACAAATCATATTTGAAGATTGTATATCTGCTTTGTTAACCTAGGCTTGCTGCTAGAGAAGAAACATCACCTAGAATAGATCTCATCATGCAAGCAGCTATAGCTACAGTACATGCAGCTTTCTCACTTGCATTCAACTTATCAGAGTCTTTTATACCAAGGAAAAGACTGTATACTTACTTTTCCAACCTTTATTTTTGCTAGAGAAGTTTGTAGACAGCAGTTTATTCTTATCTTGGCGACCGTTTGCTGCAAATGAGCTCAGACTTGCTGATAGCCGCCATTTTATTGTGACCACACCCGCGTTCAATGAAAATTAGGCTATTTTAACTTTAATAATAGTTAGACGGTCTGCCCGTACAAACAAACAAACAAACAAATGCTTTCTCGCCTTAGTGGGGCGAGCTCAGGCTCGCCCCAATAACAATACTATAAAAACATGCATGTTATGGGCATATAATGCAGCACATCAAAAGTTGCTATGGCAATAAGCACACACTCATAGTATAAAGATTATTAATCATCATTATTATTATTATTATTATTATTATTATTATTATTCAATACAGAGATACAGGTACAAGTTGATAAGAGAATAACATTAGCTCAATTGAAGGAGGAGCTAGTTCCACTGATTGGTGTACCACCTACTGGTTTTAGAGTGTTTAGAATCAGTGATAATGAAGAATATGAAATGGAGGAACTGGATGAGGCATTAAAAGATATTGACTCTGGATCAGAGGTATACTTTCTTGTGTTATTACTTTCCATTATATACTAATACACACACACTCTTATCTCTTCATTATTTTGTGTATCTACTAGTTGATAATAAGACTGAGTAGAGCATTAAGAAAAGGAGAGAAAAGAATTAAATTATATTTATTGCAAGTTAACAATACAGAGGTATAGAATATTAATTATTATGCTTACTGTATACTGGTAGCTCAAAATTTTTGAGGGCTGTAAATAGTGTTGTTTTAGTTACAAAATGAGACTTTTAGTTAGTAATAGTTAGTTATGGAACTTTAGTTTTTGATTTTAGTTAGTTTTAGTTAGTTATGCTTCAATAAAAATAATTTTAGTTAGTAATAGTTAGTTTTTAAAATTTCTAAATCTTTTTAGTTAGTTATAGTTAGTTTAAGAATTTTTTAAAAAGATTTAGTTAGTTATAGTTAGTTAACTAAAAGTAAAATTAGGCCTAACTAAAAGGGTTTTAGTTTTAGTTATAGTTACCTAAAACATTATTACTAGCTAAAAGTAGTGAAGTGCTAGACTAATAAGTACTTCTATGTTTTAGTTTGAACTTTAGCCATTTTAGTTAGTAATAGTTAGTTTTGCAAATACTATAATACTTTTAGTTAGTTATAGTTAGTTTTTTAAATTTTTAAATATTTTTAGTTAGTTATAGTTAGTTTAAAAAAAATTTTTTAAGTTTTAGTTAGTTATAGTTAGTTAACTAAAAGTAAATCTGGCCTAACTAAAAGGGTTTTAGTTTTAGTTATAGTTAACTAAAACAACACTAATGTGTATACATGTATTTGATAAAGTAACTGTACATGTACATGTATGTTCCATAGATTAGGTTGTATTGTAGTAGGTTCTATAATAATAATATTAGATTTTTATTTCTATTACTAACCAGACATGGGGTAATAGTAATAGATAATAGTAATAGTAATAGTAAAGATTACATGTTTTGAAGTAATTGTAATAGTAATAGTAATGGAGGAATCAAAAAACCAAGTAATAGTAATTGTAATAGTAGGAGACAGTTAAGTAATAGTAATATAATAGTAATTGTACATATTGTAATACATTATTGTACAAGTATTCAATGTACATGTACAGGTACATGTATGTGCATTCAAGTCTGTCTGCTCTGACAAAAG